CTAATACGTGCAAGACACCAGAGGAGGCGGCGTACGCATATGATGAATATCTCAAGAACAATTACCCACTAAGCGATAGAGAGTTTAAGTTTGAGAAATGGTAAAACGCATATATAAAGAACTACGCTAAAATACAAATAATCCTTAGATTATATACCTCTCGAAATACAAGAGCAAAATGAGAGTGTTACACAGTCGTTCCCACTCTTGGATCGAGCGTGCGAAGATCTCTGTCCGCTAAAAATTGAGGGCCCTGAAAGTCAGATCTTTTCCTGAGCAAAATGCACTGGAACCTTGTTGCACAGAAGAAGCTTTGATAAACGCATTTGTTCAGGTACGCGTTTTCAGAAGCGAAACTGAGTGTCTCAACTGTGGCTTGTTTGCTATGTTATGTCGAGCTTCACATTTGTTTATTTCTTGAAGCCCGCATTGAACATATACCCTAGATGACATCCGAAAAGAGACTGTCTTAACCTTCGGACGCGCGGCTAGCAGCCCCCGTATAACACGAACCTCATCATTGCGGAGTCCCACCTTCATAATAAATCAATACATGGATACTTTTATAAAATAGTAATAACACAAGCTCCATATGTGTAAGTACTCAATTGTACTCTACTTACCCCATTTTACTCCCAAGTAAAATATTAATCACAATACGGTTTACACTTCGTATATCTCTTTGAAAATTACGCAAACGTGAGCGCTTAATAAACACCTACTACGCTTGCTCCGCTCCTCAAATACTAAATTGTCTGCTTCTGAGGGCATGTCGGCTTTAAATGGATTCTTCCATACAGGCCTTCGCATGGGGCGGCGAGTCCTCGAGAAATACGTGTTTTGCGGTCGATGGCCTTGATGGTGAGGAGGCCAGTTTTTCTCCGATGAGAGTAGTAGCAGCAGCTTTCCAGCTCCTGTATCGACAATTCCCCGATTCACTGAAGATATGCGGCAAAGTCATTCGCTGAGGAGACAGCGTTCATATTGCTCTAACTCCTAACTAGACGATATACAAACACCTTGATCATTTCAATGGCTGGGAGACTTGCATCACCTCGCTTCTAGACTTACGACGACGTTTGATTTGTCACTGATGGGTAAGACCTGGCCCAGGGAGTTCAGCTTGTCCGTCTGTAAGCGCAGAAGTTTCAACGACTCATCACACCGACGGACTGGGGCGGAGAGCCTTCACATCTATGCGTACGGGTGCTCCACTTACACCGAGAATACAACGAGCACCAGAACGTTGCTTTGTAAGATCTTAATGACCCCACAGGCTCCAAATTTCTGAAATGCTGCCTGCTATTTGGCAAGCAGCGATCGTAATCTCCATGAGAGCGTACCATAAATACTAAATACCAGGGAAAGTTTAAGGATTATCGCACTGATTTCACGCACTTGGTGGGAATGACGCGTCAGTTCACTCATCTCTTAGCTATTAGAGCCATTTTTGTGAAGTAGGGCTCCGACTACAAACGTCACATGATGATGCCAAACCTTGTGTTTTACAAAGGACACACGGACGTCGATGTAAACATTTACCATATTCAGCTCTTGCAATGACAGCTTCGCTCATCTTCATGGGATATCTGTTATCTCTACCGACAATATATCGAATTACAAAAAAACGATCCCCATTCGCTCATCGAAAGCACGCTGCACCAGGCGACTCAGCAATTTTTCAGGGAGGAACTCCGTAGGTGCACCGGAACATAAGCTGCAACACCACCAAAAGAACTGGCCGAAGTTGGACCTCAGGTTTTTCCTTTCCTTAGATCACATCACCAGATACAAATGACAGTATAGATGTACCTATCGGCAAGTAACATTTGGACATGAAAGCATGCTCATCATTCGGTGCTGGTGGAAAACCAACCCCTCCCCGCTGGTGGTACTCGTAAGCGTTCTTATTTATGATAGCTTCTCGACTTTCCGCGAGAGTATGTGCATGTGCATGATACCGAGATGAATATGCTCTTGGATGCGATTTCAAATCCATGCCATTGCAATAAGAGACTTGAACCTCCAGCGATTCAATCCGAGTTGATGCTTGGAAAAGCGGGTCGCTTAGGTACAGGTGATGATCGGATTGCTACTACTTCTTCAGCCAAGCGCTTCACATCCAACTGGATTGTTAGAGTAGAATCTTAGTATTGCCTGCGTAAGCCACGGAAACAAGTTCTCTGCCAACGCTTCGACACAATGGCCATAGGCGCTGTGTCAATGTCCAAGTGCAGCTGGGCTATATCATCCCTGTAACGATGTCACTGACAGCAGCAAGGTGAGCCACGTCGCTTTGATGACGACGATGCTGGATAAATTAGATTCGTCTTTAAGCAAAGCAGAATACAGTGTTGTTTCAGATTGTCAACGCTTTGCCGCAACTGACAGGCTAGTCAAAAGCATCGACATACGGCGAGGGTCAAGCCATTGACGCGTCTGATACGTGCGCACATATGTGCTAACACACTACTTCAGGCTGGGCCAACAGTAATTAGTACTCATTAAGCGGTATGTCTGTGGTGACCACCTAAAATGGTCTTGTGTAGTACCATGTACCTCATTTCTTATCATGAAATATCACCCACATAAGTGTCAAGTGGGACAGTGCTGTAGTACTGCAAGCATACGTGCAAAGACGCGCCTAAAGTGTATCTAAGCTCAAAAATCCTTTTAAGCTCGCAAATTATATTACTGTGCACAAGGACAAATGATCTGTATTGATAACAAAAAACCAAGACCAAGCATGTGCGCCTTCAACTTGAATAGGTAATATTTATTTATCTCTTTGTCTTCAAGTCAGAATTTCTTTTCTGCAACTATAACTGTCCAATTGTATCTTTTCTGAAGCAAAAGACAGTCTATTGAAAAGTCTAAAGCGTTACAGGCTAAATGAGATGGACAATCAAGATAAGCCAAAATTGTGGCACACATGAAGGCTTTTTTCACCTCTTCTAGCAACCAAAGCACCATTTAACATTCTTTATAAGGAGATCGATGGGGGATGGCCATGTCAGAATAGTTCGACATGCTTGTGCAAATAGTAGGCTAAACATTTCCAAACCTCTTCTGGGCCAGAGAAATTGATTAATTAATAATGGCATTCATAGTTCCGGGATTTACTCGCAGGCCTTTATCTCCAATTAAACAACTCAAAAGTAGGTTTTTGTAAGTCCGGTCGTCTACATAGCGAAACTTATTTAAATATATAGTTCACAGGTGTTCCATGAGCATCTCTACATCTTACTTCCATTTAGAGCATCCCGCTCGGAGTATTCACCGCAGTGAGACAGGGATCGCTCTTTCATCAGCAGTTGATAATACCCACCGTCGTAAACAACAATTTTCAAAGTGCAGAAGACGAGGCTTTTCCGTAGCACATCCTTTCCAGAAATTGGGATTCACACAGGAAATGAAGCTGCTGTCACTACAATTTTCGCCCCTCCTCAAAAATGCGATCGTTTTGGAAATAATCTGTTTAGATTAGGCTATGATAGAAGTGGGAAAATTGATAATGGAGTCATCATATCACCATTCCCACAATGCTTGGGAATGGCGAGTTTGAGATTGGAAAGACCAAATCCTAACAAGGTTTAGCACTGCAACCACCCATATCTTAAACAAACTCTATTATTATTGTCAAAGTGAACAAGAATGCCTTCAAGGAAAAAGTAGAAGTGAATTACAGTATCATTTTTGAATGAATGCAGTCATAAGTAGAATTCATGCTTGCTGTCGCTCATCAAATAAACACTTTTCAACAATAAAAGGTGAGAATTTCAGTCATCACGCAGTAACAGGAAGTGGTATCAGAAATTGTATATTTCGTTCTAGTATGCGCCGCTTTCAGCCAACGCCAGGACTATCATTCCTTAATTTCCAAACATTGGGTCAGCTGTGGCGCGCATGTTAGAAGTAAACGCTTGAAGCCACATGCAGTTTTCCCCTCGATAGTTTTATAAGAGACCAATTGATATCGCTTGGACTTGAAAGAAAATGAGAAATTTTCAAGTGAAGACACTTATACACAATACAATTAGTATATTTTGCTTTTTTTAGCACTCCATACACACACAAGACGTGAAAACCGGGCTTGTGTTCTCTTTAAAGATGTGATAAACTTTTTTTATGAGGGTCAGGTTGTAAATGTCGACATACCAAATAAGCGGATAATGCCCGATACAACGTCAGAGATGATTTGGATATCTTAAGAAAATGTTAGTAGGAATGTAGGTAATATAACAATTATTCTGCGTGAATACAGTCTTGACTTGAATTGTAATTGCCTTTAATGTGAGGTCATTATATGATAATAAATCTGTCCGTCATCCCCGCCTGTACCTTTTTCCAGTGGCAAGTGGTGTTACAGCAAACTTGGGTGTGGAGTTTAGGATTACATCGCAACCAAGTCGCTACCTCAATCGATGTCCTCGTTTCGGTGTTTTCTTTTATAAGTACATCACTGGTGACACGTTTGATGTCTTGCGCCTTGCTGGGGTTACAATACGCTGGCTTAAACAAACTTGGCCGAGCTTTCTAGTCGTCTCTTCAATGTCGCCAGTCGGTCAATCTACTCCACAAGACCAGCTAGAAAATGTGATTTCGTTTCTTGTGTAAAACTGTACTACTGGTCGTCAACCAACATGTTCTTAGACTCCTCCCACTAACAGTAGAAGACATTAAATTCACAGTCACCAAGAATGTTAAAAGTTTACACAACTTCGTTAGCTTTGCTGTGATAATAAGCA